TCCAGGTGACTGTTTTCAATGGAAAATGGGAGAGCAAACCTGTGATGAAGGTTATTGACACTGACAAGTATGTGACATTTTCATTAATACCACAAATTGCTAAACTCATCATTTTGACACATTTTGCTTTAACACACAGTACACAATTCAATTTCTGTTTATTGTATTTTAATCATAAATGTCAAAACTTTAATATTAACCATCATTTTACAGACGATGACTATAATTTGACACATTTCATTCGTCGTCTATCCGTCTTCGCCGCCATCATCACCTGTGTGGCCCTGGCTGTGGTGGGCTACAAAATCTACGTACTGAGGCACACAAAGTATAGATAATTTTGAATGGTTTCACTATCAGTTTGACTGTTACATTTGTTGTTTTGAGTTTTTATTTTACACTGTCTTTTACATTGTTCACTGGCACAATGCATAGTCTCCTGTTATAATGCAACACTTACATCAATTGAAATATCATACATTAGAAATTCTGTATTAGAGCACAACAGTATAACTACTGCAAATTATAATAGCTTATAGTTTTAAAGCAACTTGGGCAAAAACTTGTTGTATAGCATGTCTGTGAAGTCTAGTTTAATGAGGACCCAACAATAAGTTGCACTGTTTTACTGCATCTGTAGTTTATGTTAATGAACCTCAATCTGAATGTCGTCGTAAAGACTGATGAAGAGACGGCTGATGAAGATGCCAACCAAATTGCCACTTACTCCTATTAATTTGTTCTGTATGTAGTAGTTATTTTAATCTGCTTACACTGGTTTGTTTAGAATCTACAGTGTATGATTTAGACTGCTAATGCCTTGTTTGAGACATGTTTTGTGGTTTTTTTATTACTTTCTTGAACAAAATATACTTTTTTTTTAATGTGTACTTTGTAACAAAGGGGAACCGTTCTTTTCTTATTGAATTTTTAATCTTCATGATGTGAGATGAGATAAACTTAGTCACAATTAAGGTTACACAATTATAAGTCATATCAAATAATATTACATTAGACTTTAGATCCTGACCATAAAAGGTGTCTTTGATAATCTTAAAACAGCCTTCTTTGCAGATCAGCTCAAGTCAAAAGCTTTTAAGTTATAAACAGTATAGAATGCCATCTGTAGTATGGCTTTTAGACTATAATAACCTAGTTTTGTTGTTATCTTGTGATCATGTCATATTTTCCATTTATATTTCTTTTACCAGTTGTACACATGCCACCTAAACAAAAGGAAAGTGATAGCAGCAGCTGTTAAGGTCAGACACGTAGACATGTAGACGTCACCTCCTATAAGCAGGGAAAGCAATTGCTGAAAATTTTGATACTTCCACCACCTGCAGGAAAATAATTTTATAGGTGGTGCTCTGGCTTTTTTAAAAAAAAATTTATTACAGTTGTTTTTTTGTATGTTGTCTTGATTTTGCGGTATTACCTTTCATATTTGTATGACCTGTACCCATCGTAAATATTACATTTAATCTTTTGAAAAAAACATCTATATTTTCTTTAATTGTCTGGACAAATTCTTTATTTTTACCAATAAACAATACATACAGAAAATATCTAAACTGGACTTATTCTATGTCGCCACTAGTATACAGTCTATTCTAGTATCCCATAACCCATTGTGCTATCAGTGATTAAACTGTGTATTCATGCCGTCTTCTGCAACTTCCAAAGTTAGTTAATATAAGATGACATTACATTTACTCCAATGTATGTTCTAGTATCAGTCTGGGTTATATAATATGGTGTGGTACAGAACAAATCATTAAGGTAGTATGATTTGCTAGTTGTCCATCACAGTAAAACATCCCAACTCTTGTAAATTCAGGTAAAAGGGTCATTCTGGACTTTGAAGTTCAGTCCTTCCTTAAAAATGCCCCTAGTGATCCATAACTGCAGGTGTGAAACTGCAATTACTGCAGCTCTGCACCTAACTCATACTAGTTGGGCCTGGTAATGTTTGGCATTGCATAAATGTTACAGTGTGACCTTTTTTTTTTATTACTGTATTTCTTGGCAATCAAGTGATGCTCTAATCATTCAAACAGTGATGCCTGATGAGATTTGATGAGATGTGAAACTTATTAAAACCTGGTAAGAGCTCCAAGCACTCACTCTAATGTCCAAACGAAATTTGAAAGCTTTATTACATTTATTTAGCACACAGGGTGTTTGTGATGAGGATTTTTAATTTGAAATGAAATGTTAAGAAAACGAAACTACCAAAAAAATAAATATTAATTCCAATATTTGACTTTCTGGAAAACCCCTGGACTCTTCAATACCACTGGAGAGCACCGTCATATCCTATTGACAAAAAACGCTCTCTACCAAGAAATTGCCCTAATCCTTAAAGTGACTGAGCACTGTTTGTTATTAACAACCTCCCAGTGAGGAGTAAAAAAAAATAAAAATAAAACCTGAATCTCCATTTCTGTGCATAAACAGAAATATAACCATTACTGCACACACATAGTTTAAGGCATTGCAACCTGACTTTGCACCACATAAAGCATTCTTAACTAGCAAGGTGACAGATAACAGCAAGATATATGCATTCAGTTTTAAAAGAAGACAAGAAATTAAATCATATTGTAATGTTTCCTGACACTAAATGACAGAATAAAACGTAATATCTGTTCTCTTTCCTGGGCTGTTTTCCTTATAACTAAATATGGTGCTTTGGCGTTGAGAAAGCATCAATATAAATGTGTCTTTTGAGCCAATACAAAAGAATAAGCTTTCAGACACTCTTGTAAAGAGAGCATAGAGATAGGAAATAAACAGTGAAGACGAGTGAAGATGAGGAAGAACTACTGAAACCAAGTACTGAAATGAATTTTTTTTTTTTACTGCAGAGAGAAGCTATGCAAAGGAACAACAATAACGACAAGGTGTACAATTGCAAACAAAAATTGTAGAACACTGTATTTGCACGTCTCAGACAAATAACTACTATCAACACACTATCAAAATATTCTGTTGACCAAAACAAAATAACTTACATTTTCTTGCACCTACAAGCTTTGATTTTGTATATATAACACATTATTAAATGTTAATAAAAAAAAAAAATGACAACATGTACAATATCTAAATTAGCGGTTAACAGGCTATTTGATAATGTTAGAAGCAAATTCATAAGACACTGAAATAAAGCGTTATCAATAATTGTTTACTTACTATACCTTTCATGTGGTATCATTGTCATGTAAACCAGTGGTCGTCAGTGCTAGTCATTTGTGACACCCTGGTGTAAACCTATTCACTGCTGTAAAAATTATATATATGCTTTCCTTCCTCCAAATGAATAGGGTCACTAAAACCTTACAGTATTAAAACTTAAGGAACTTCTTCTCTATTTACAGTACACAAAAAAAAGTCCCATTGGTGCTTGTTGGTTTTTTTCAGTACAAGTCTTTCATATAGTTTACATAAAAGGTACCTTAACATATAAACTGCTCTCTCTATGTTTAACTTTTCTCTTTGGTATCTCAGTTGAGGACATATGTTACGCTGTGTTTTACTCATGACGTGGACGGCTACACAAGGTAAGAATCTGCTATCTCTTCAACATATTTGTTAACACAACTACACCATAAACTTACACAGCAACAGTTACAATCACAACTTTTTGTTCACACAGAATGTCTTTCTGGTGGGTCAAATGCATACACTGGACCATAATGACAACTATGTTTTGACTTTTTTTCATGGTTTTGCCAGCAAAATCCGTAATACCTTGCTTAAGTTGAACCAAGGAGAAAACGTTTTTGGTGTCAGTGACTAAGGTAAACAGCAGACTTAAAACTGCTTTTGTTACAGCATCTACAAATCCTTCTAGGTTGTCAAAAGAAGAGACATTCTGAATGTTTTCAAAGACAATACATAA